AAGGGTCGGAACCACAGAAAGTCCAACAACGATGAGGCTACAAAAGATGAAGAGTACAACAGAGTCGAATAGAATTCCCGGAAAACCTGGAGATGAGCAGACGACACAGATATCTGCTGAGCCAATAACAAAAATGACACGAGGACTGTTCGAACCTTCCACGACAGAACTTACCAAATCTAGCAGATCTCCTAAAAAAGAAGGCATGCCTGGATCTTCTGCTGGAACTCCAAGTTCAATTTTTTCATCTCTCGTGACGAAAGCTACTGAAAAACCCGATGTGAGCAACCCAAGAGTAACTGCGAGATCTACAACAACTGACCAGTTGTTCTCTACAAAAGTATCTACCTCAGCTGAAAATCCAATCTCGCAGGAAACAACCACTCAACCTCTCGAACGTCAAGCAAGCACCTTGAGCACATCTCCATCTATTAGGCCAACCATTTCGATTACGGGAGCTTCCGCCACCACTACGAAGTCTGAGGCAACAATTACATTGTCTAAAGGAAGTGTGACACCGACGGTTAATATTGACGGTGGCATCAACACTAATGTCACAACGCCAGGTGATGTCAATATGCCAGTGCTGTCATCAGTTTCAACACAAAGAGAAACGACGTCTACTTCTGTAACGTCTTCACCTTCAAAGCACTTCAGTATCATGCCTTCTTCGCCAGGAATAGCTCCAGAGACTGTGGAATCAAGCACAACAACAGAAGAGGCAATTGTGTCACGAGTTCCTTCTGAGAAAGGGCAAATGCTTACATCTTTACAAGTAAACGAAACTACAACTCCTGAAAATAACTTATCGTCTGCATCAACACATCCCTCGTTCCCGACATTAATCAGTTTTCCAGCTTCTTCATCTTTCAAAACTGTGCCCATCTCTAAAACTTCCTCCATACCTACTAGGCGACCGTTCACTCCTATTTCACCGAGAAGATCATCACACAAACAATTTCAATCTATCAGCACCTCCACAACATCGCATTCACCACCAAAAATAACCTTACAACGCATTTTCACACCCGCACCTTCTATTGCACCATCCACACTACCATCGTCTACTTCTGCACCAGAGAGCACCCCAAGCATGCCACCACTTGATCCTACTGATTTTCCTGATTTTCCAGAAAGTGGGCTCAAAACAACAACAGAAGATGATCTCTCTGTTGTTATTGAATCTTTCGAGTCAACCACAGAGTTTCCCAACGATTTGGCACCCGGAAAGCGGGGACGATGCACCTCATCAGATAGGTCGATGTGTCATGAGCTGGCAATATGTGAGATTGCCACAGGAGCTTGTCGATGCAAAGATGGATTCACAGGAGATGGTTACACGAATTGCACGTAAGTACATGCTTGAAGGAATCTTAATTTAGCGGAATTTTTCTCAATTCCAAAACTAGAATTAAAAATTGAGCAATTGTTCAAAACCGTTCAAATCCGACTTAATAACTGAACAAGGGAAAATATAAAGAACCTCATAAAACTGTGTACTTCACCAACCTGACCAACAGAGAAGCTCATCGGCATGTGCGGTGCAGCGCGGCCGGTGATGCTTATGAGTCGTAGACAAAAATTTTGTCGTCGTTGACTGGTCTTAAGCCTTGGTTATAGCGCCCCTTTTTTGACTATAACAGACAACTTATTAATACCAAAAAGTTATTGTTTGTTCAAGTAGTACTCCCATCATACTTCAGCATATTGAAGGAAAGGGAAGGCAAATGGGAAAAGCGACCATTGACTACCTTAAGCGTAGTTCAGACATTTTATATCGACGAATAGGCTATCGGGCGCGCGAGCGCAAATGGTAATTAGCCAGAAATGAATTGACTTTCTTATGATGTACTGCGGAATGTAAAGTGACTGTTCCTCAAATCATGTTGTAAGATGCAATTACACATGAACCATTTAAAGTACTCTATGATGTTTTAAATGCAATATATCTAAGCTGTATCAGCATCATAAGTACATTGTGAATAAAAAATCCTCGATAACCGCACTGTGTGCAAAAGTTTGGGAGTGGGTAAGAAGCGCCCTATGACATATCAAATATCGTATATGAAACACTTACAGAAAGTTTATTCCACCACCCGATTGTGTTGTTCAATCAACTCTCTGCCATCCAAATGC